TTTTTTTTTTAGAATTTCTTGCATGAGATTATGATACTTTTATAGTATTTAGGTGGTTCGTGGACAAAAATTCTATGAAGCTATCGGATAGTTTTTTTATGGTGAATTATCCATTATTTAATGTATTGACACCCGTCCAAAGTGTATTTATTGTAGGACACATGTCAATACACTATTTGTGAATAAGTATGGATGACTCTATAACTCGTGTCATCCGATGACTCCATAGCAAAACTGAGTTCTTGGATGTAAGTTGTGATTGTTTTTATTGACTTAGAGTTCAAGTTTAACTCAATGTCTAACTGTGCTCAATAAATAATATCAATCAATCAATTTTACAAATCACATTAACTTTAATTTACTATTCATCAACTCACGTAAATTTTAAATATTAATCACTTTTATTCATTTCTCTCGTATGTTTACATCAAATCAGCTTTAGTCGTTTAATATAAAATCAAAATCTCACTCGATCCTAACCCAAACAAATTTTTTTTTTTTTAATTTTTAATTTTTTTTTTTTTTTAATTTCAAAATTAACTTGGGTTAATAACCAAAAAAAAAAAATCAATAAAAACTTGCTTAATCGTGTAACTGGTTAACTAAAAAACTAATAAAACCCTAGGTTGGAACACAATGTCGAACTGTGCTAGTTCTACAGTCCATTTTACTATTTTCTACGACGTTTCTAGTTGGTGCATAAATTGCTTAAGCGTGTAACTGGTTAACACGATAGTAGGGTGCTCGCCGAAATATGCACAAAGTTTTCAGGAAGATATGACCAATGCATGGGTCAATTTTTCCATGACTAGACCTTAGTTTGGCTTCGTAAATAGTTTGACAAACATAATAAATAGGATGGGGTGCCACCGTCATTTCAAACTAGTGCTAAACTAATAGTCATATTTGAGACGACAAGATAGAGATCGAGGACTTCAGCGTGCTTTGGCTTTTGCATGATCGACATTGCCACGACTCCAAAGTCAAGATTGATCGTTATAGGAGAATTAATATTCCGAGACTGCGAAGCGATTCCTTTAAGACATTTTTTT